CCCCTAGTGTGTGCCGAACTTAAAAGAAACAGTCAAGATAAAAAAGCAGATACACTATATATATATATATTTTTTTATCACTTTAAATTAAAATTGCATTCATCTTTCATATCGCCTCTGTTCGCTGCTTATGGATTCAGTAATTTCGGTAAATCACGCGTTTCACGCTGTCAAATTAAAATAATAAAGAATAAAAATGGATTATATCCCTTTGTGTTGTTAATTGATTTTTTTTCTTATGTTTATGTCCGCGTGGCCTTGACAACAGTGAGTTTCAGCCGGAGTCACGCACAGATTTACTCAATACTTAGTTATGAGAATTTGGCGGCAAAACGGTGATTGAAAGGAGAAATAACGAAGAGAACTTACTGCCTAGTTGATTTGATTGATTTCTTTATTCTCGACACTTGTCTTGACAGCGATTTTCCTATCGCCCACGCGTTCCCATGACGTGAAAAGGCCGAGGAAAATAGCGCATGCGCTTCGGATGGACACAGTAATCCACCTGGTTATATAACAATAAAAGCTTCTATAACAGTACAGTTCTATTTGCATTTTGATATTGAGTAGATTGTTCACAAATTGAAGCCAGAATGCTGTATAATTTTTTCGATCGACCTTGTGAGCTTATTGGAACTGTCGGTTGATGGCTCCTTAAATAAAACCGCTCAAAATTTTCATGCTTTATTTCAACGCATGCAAATCTGGCGACTCTCAAACCATTGGACAAAGTGCAAAGTTTGCAACAGTTGCCTTGGTTGCGGCTTCATAATAGGAAAAACGAAACAAAAGAATAACAATTAATTCGTTTTTGTGCCTGTGTCATAATATACGGCACACCCCTTAAGAATTGAGTGATCGAGCTCCCTGGTTCCTCTTCTCTTCTGTTATTTTAGTGACAAAATCGAGATTATACCGCGATGAACGATCAAGTGGAGGAAGGCAAGGCGAAGGCGGCCGGAATCGTTGGCATTCTGATTGGAGTAATAGCGTTAATCGAGCTGATATGTGGATTTATCTACCTCAGCAAAGGTGGCCCCGAAGGTTCTGGCCTGTGGTCTGGAGTTGGGGTAAATAATTGTTGTTTTGCACTAATATTTTTTTCGTTGTCCGGCCGTTAGGTCTATAAATTAGTTTTCAGAGTTTACTTTCTTCGTTTCATCTCAACAGACGACTGATTATTTATGTTAGATGGTGTTCTAGTGCACGTTTCTTTTAGTAGTATCAGGATTCCGTATTTATATGCCGCCAAAGATTTCGTTTACACTGACATAGCATGTTGAAAATGTCGCTTTGTATTCTCTTTTAATTACGAAACCTTTTGCTTAAATGGTTTTCCACAACTTTAAAATAATGTTTGGTGGCCTCGTTGGACAAAGTTCTGATTTCAAAGATTGTCGGTTTCTTTCGTGCTTTTCGCCTAAAGCGGCAAAAAGTGTTCAGCAACACGGAGAAGTTAATTGCATTCCGCCTACGCTGCGACCATGGGGTTGCGCACAGACGGTTTCTGAAAATTTGTGTACGTAGATTTGAAACCATCTGCAGTGTCGCCGTTCTGGTGAAGATATTAAACGAGCCATTACTCATTTTTAGAGAAGACCACCTGGGAAGGAAGGTAAATAACAACTTATGACCGAAGATGCATTCGAAAAAAAATGTGACGCTTTCCTCTAGCTACAGAACTACCGCTAAGAATAAAATAAACAGGTGTTTCCTTTTTTTGGAGGTAAATAACGGCTCATTGGCAAGTAGAGCGACGGTAACTTGACCGATGTTTGCAGTTTGTTTTGATATTGATTTAGCTAAAATATTCAAATTGCGGCGTTTCGGGGGACCAACAGAGAAACAAACAACTGCCTTATACAATAACGCCAGCTGCTTGGTTTTTCATTTATTGAAAACTGGAGGAATCTGTAAGTAGTTATCGGTGCTGCAAAATAACTGAGTTTTCTCTGATATCACTTGATGTATTGTGATTTAAATAATCGGGCAACTGTTGAATTTTTATCAGGGCTGAAGTCTGCACGCATAGGTGAGAATGATTTAATACTGCGCTACAAAGACAGATGTGTACTGTCAAGAGTTATATGTAATCGTTTAACAGAACGTTACAGTTAAGGATGGCAATGATCCATAATCAAAATAAACACGAAGTAAATGAGAAAATATCAAGTGAAAATCCTTTTGTGTGGCATGAACAAATTATTCGTTGATGTAATGTGACAGTTCTTGGTAGTTACGATTGAAAAGATTGCTTACGGGTCCAAACACGACCCGCAAAATTAACAATTTATATGCGACGCAATTAGTCTTGAAGTAATTTCCATTTTTATTGTAGTGCTCAAAACGAAGGATTATGTTTCTAAGTCTTAATCATTCCAGTTTGATGTCAACCCAAGGATTTTTTCACACGAAACACTGTGTCATGGGTAGCTCAGCCGCGTTTGATTCTATAACTAAATCGTTCTTCCTAGCGTCACGTTCTTTCTTTCTTACTTTTCTGTTTTTACCTTGAACAGTCTCCAAACGGGCCTGGCGTGGGTACACAGTTTTTGACATGAAATGAGATCATAATTCATAAATCAGGCATGCCTGGATGCGCGAACATATTTGTTTTCTTTTTCCTTCGCTCGCGCTTTTATTTTTGAGAGTACGGCTGCGTTATGCATATATCGATCATGTCCTCTGGCCTTGACGAAAATCTTTGAACTTAGGCCGACGTGAAAACAAAATAGTAAGAACAAAACACAGAACAAAAACACCCACAAAAGGTAATAAGTTAAGTCGTATAAGTTCCACGGAACCAGCTAATTATTCAGCAGACAGGTTCACTTGACTACGAGAATGTTCTTTTGTTCCACATGAGGAAAGAGTACTTTAACGTTCTGGTTGAAAGAATGGTCAGCATCCACTAATAATATTCATGTATGAGAAGGATTTGAGTCCACTTCAAGCTTAAACTCTGAAGACCACACTGACGTTGTGTAAAGTGCTCATAACCTTTTTTTTTTTTTTAAATTTTTCAGGTTCGAAACTACTTTCTCTAAATGATAACATAAGGCAACCTCGTTCCCAAGGTCTCTTATCTCCCTCCCTCCCGGAACAGGAAGAAGAGAGAACTTGGGAACGAGCTTGACATAAGGACTAACGGAGTGCTCAGTACGTAGACTTTTAAACCAAGTGAAGATTCTCACTATTGGGCTTTCCGCGATTGGATAGTTTTTTTGTCAAATGGCCGCAAGCTTCGTTGCCGAATAGAAAACTTCCTTTTGTGCCCCAAAAAAGCGTAAACGCGAATGCTGATCAGTGATACAACGGATAGTGATAATTTATCGTTGCTTGGCGGATGCTCATGGTGTTACAGCAGAACGAAGAGAAACGCATAAATACTCGTGTTTAAAGGAGTTACCTCACGGTTTGCGGGAAAATCTTGAAAAGTCTAGCCTACGTCAGTTTCAAGTCCTTGGCTTGTAATCCGTGTTAATCTTCTTCATCTTTAGCCATCCTTGTTCCTTTATGGTTTATTATTATTATTATTATTATTATTATTATTATTATTATCTCTTTGGTTTTTTTTCTATCTTAGTTTACTGTTATTTTCAGGTTTCCTTTCATTTAAAGGCAATTTTGTACGTGGCCAAAATAACTCAAAAGACCGTGAGTGAGCTCCTTTAAGCTGTTTCCCTCTGTCACGCTGAAACAACTTGAGCTTTAAAGCGTGAACTACCACTACCTATAATGCTTTTCGACATTGTCGCCTACACTTTTACGCTTTGGTACGGACAACCTTTCTCAAAACAGCTGTATTCTGTAGTTCGCTACTTCATGTGGCTCCAAAGTTCTTCTTTCTATCGCTATTGTTCTTGATATTGTTGTTTAGCTGCATGACTTTCATAGCTCGTTGATATCAAGGGTGACAAATTACTCCGAAATTTCAGCGTTAATTTATAATTTCACATGCGCAGTTATAAAATTTCCATGGCAATGTTTGGCGCGAGATTTCCTGATACAATAAACAAGTCAAAAACCCACTCCATGATATTAATCAAATACTATAGTACTCGTGAGTTAAGCACAAATTTCACTCGTCACTTGATTACTTATAAGCCAAATCAGAGATTCAAGAATAAACGTTGTGTGCATCCGTGTTTATGCCTAATTCATGCTTCTAGTGCTCTGGGTTTTTTTGTAACAAAAGAAGAGAATTACTTGAAGAAGTAAGGCTTGAGGGAATATTTTCAACACAAAAATTAGCGAAAGTAATAGTCATAAACGACGTTTACACATAGTCAGGATGTCATCGTCAAGTAAATGTGTAGCAAAGTTGTTTGTTTAATTAATTTAGTTTTCTAATAGTCAGTTTTTCTTGTTTTCTTATCACTTAACGTATTTTGCCAGCTTAAACTTATGCGCATAATTTTAGATTTGTTTATAATGCAGAATCTAACCAACACATTTACTCGACAATGACGTCCTGACGATGTCGAAATGTCGCTTATTACTTTCGCCAATTTTTGTGTTGCTTAGGTACAAAAACGCATACCTAGCTAATGCTCTAATTCTTGAAACTCCGATATGGCTTTTTCTTTTCAACAAACAGACGCCAATTTTCCACGAGGCTATGGCCGAGTGGATCCACCATAGTTACTGGAGGGGGACTATGGATCCACAGACTACTTTGAAAATGCTATGACGAAAATCATTGTCAATATAACAGGACAGACGACAATATAACAGGACACACGCATGAAAAACTGACGTCAATTTGTTTTTACGATAACAAAAAGGTTGAAGGGACAAAGTAAAATCAAAACGCGAGAAATTCGTATGTCTGTCCGCTTATTGACAATAAAAAATAGCCAATGAGGTCCATTGAGTGCGCGAAAATTTCTGCAGTTATTTTAAAAAACTCGATGGATTGTTAGTTTGCTCGTTAGTTTCTTAGCGTCTTCGTTCATAATTGTCTTAACTGTTCTTACTGTTTCTTAGTCTAAGTTAACTCATTCTGAGCTCATAAGTAATTTGCTTAGTGCGTTGATTGTTACCCGTCCTTTAGTTGGTTGTTTGGCTGAGTAGCTCACTGATGTGCCTTCACCTTTCTTCCTGTAGCTGGCAGTTATTGCTGCCTTGGGAATCGTAACATGGCTGAAGAGAAACAAAACAGCGGTAGGTAGATACGAGTATATCCGAGAGATCGGAATAAACATTCTGAGTGGTGCGGGATGCGGGATTGAAAAAGCCTAAGTTGTACCCTCTGCAAAGATAGAACGCGAGAAGTCCGAGAATTCCTTTTTTAAAATCGGCAAGCCTAGATCCTCACAATCAGAGTGCCAACGCGTGCTCTTGATTGATTAGCGAAAAGATATCCAGCCAAAAAGCTAGAGTTATGAAGTGAAACTCTAGCTTGAATCTTACTTACTTACTTGAATGCTCGCTTACTCGAGTAGCCCAACCCTAGCGTTACTTTCAACGGTCTTCTCGAGTTGCACACTCCTGAAAGGGCGTCTTATATCTGTAGGGAAATGCTATATAAACAATTGTGGTGGAACAAGACCGGTCTGGAGAGCGCCTAACGTAAACTTACCATAAGGTTTTCATTTGCAGCTGGTCTTCTACTTGGTGATGTGCATTCTGTGGTTTATTGTCTGCATTATCCAAGTAATTATTGCCTTTATCGCATGGGCGATCTGGCACATTATCAGGAAGGTGGTGGAGACGAACTGCGATCAAATTGGGGATACTTGTGTATGTCATGACACAGATAATACCCCTATTACAGGTAAGAAAGCGGGATGTTCGTGTAGTTTAGGAATTCGAGTGGGGATGAATTAAGGGTAAGAGAGTTATAACCCGGGGAGCAGAACTCTCACATGAAAGGGACAGGAGTGCTCGTCGGAAATTTTGAAAAAGCCCTCTAAGAGGTACCAAGATCCTGCTTGTGGGCGTGGCTTGAAATTTTTTTTTTTTCACCCAAAGAGGTACCAATTCTAAAACATCACATTACCCTTAAAGGTACCGCAACACCTCCTGCTGTGGATCTTTTGAGGTTGAACATCCCCAGAGGTACCAAAACCGCTTTTTAGCCCCTAAAAGGTACGACGAGCACATTCGTCCTTTCTATATGGAGTCCCCCGGGGGTAAAAAGTCATGGTTTGCATTACCCTCTAAGTGAGGGGAACCAGGAGTGGAATTCCTAGAAGGCTATTGTGGGATGGCTGCAGTCTCTAGTTCAATCACCACTACGGAGAAATAGGTGAAACAAACGCCATGCCATTCACAAGAAACTCCGTAAGTAAACATTCGGTAATCATGCCACTGTTTTGAATTGAAACCAGAGGAATCAATTTGTATACAGTCGAAGGCCACTTATTAAACAGTCACCCCTTATTAGGCATTCAGTAATCAAGGTCCCGATAAGGGCTTCTCTATTGTTTTTACCTCTATTAAGCGACCAGCCCCCTTTAAGTGGCCCCTATCCATTTCCCCGAGGGTGACCGTTTAATAGGGGTACTAGCTTGGGGTGCAGTGTGTTACTTATTCCATAATAACAGTAGTTCTAATCTTCTAACACGCCTCTTGATCATATCATTATGGCGAAAATCCTGGGTTTTTTTTTTCCTTTAATTTTCCGTGTGATTTAATTTCTGGGTATATTTTACTCGCTATTACTACTACATTTTCCACACTGAAAACTCATGAGGGAGTTATAAGCCATAGCTAACGTTTCCTTATTCATTATTTTATCCGTTCACAGTGCACAACTGCGATGACATCAGGACGATTGAGAGCATTTTCTTGTGCATTCTGATCATGAGCGCCTTCGCCGCCATTTTGACGCTCTCTGGCTCCATCATTGGCTGTATGGGGACTTGCTGCGCTCGACCAGCTGTAAGTCACGCAATTCTACTGTGACTGTGTCACGTTACTGCTCGAGATTCTATTATCGACTCGCGCTTGCATATACCTCATGATTGCAAACTATGAGAGGTCACGAAAGCCCAGTAACAACCACCTTGATCAACCTGATTATACCCTGGTGACTGTCATCCATAAACAGTGTTTCAAAATATAACCGATTAATAATTATTTTAAAACAGACTTTTGACTTCCCGGTATAATCATAGAGACGAGCATTACATTAAACAATAACTTGAAATAAATCTGATTTATTACTGGTCGACAAGATTATGCAACTCACAGAAACAGACGCCATTCATCTCACCTTCACAGATGCAACTACGCCAAAATTCCTATTGCTGGTTTTCAGTGTCACGCAATTCAAAATAGATCAAAATAAAAATCAAAACCGTCAATAGGTTAAGTCCAGAATCTGGGAAACGAAAGGAGGTAAATATGCAAAGACTCTCGCCAAAATTCTGGTCACAGCAATTTTTCTTATGTGAGATATGCGGAGAAATTTTT